TTGTTCAATAAATAAAAAGAAAGCACCATAATCAATATCTTGACATTGCACTTGTGAAAGTGACATATACGTAAGTTAATTCTAAATAACCTTGCAATTTAATAAGTCACTTTAAATGAAAAAAAGGAGAGCACACAGAATGATATATTTTTATCTTAAAAAGCTCCTCTGTGCTTTGCTAACTAATATTGAATTAAAATTCTGACAAAGGCTGGAACTAAGTAATTACACACTAAGCTACTATGGATAAAGTCAACATCGTGTGCATTATAATAAATAATATGGGATACCAGCCCTAATATTTAGACCAGCCTCAATGATTCTTATTCATAGTCTGTCTCATTTCTACCACCTTGTATTATACAAACTACTCTACTACATTTCACCAATGTATGATTTCTGTAATCATAGTGTGAAGACAAGAAAAAGAAGATTGTTTACGTGTAAAGAGGAGATAGTGTTGGCTGTGGGCAGAGAAAAGATGAGAAATTGTCAGATTCTAGATGAATTCTAAGGTTATAGCCCATGGGATTTGTTGGATATACACTGTTAGACCAAAAAGAATCAAAGGTGACTTCTTGTGTTGATTTCACACAGCCAAGATTCTACAGTACTCATCCTCTTGGCCATCTAATCCTCCTTCAGTTCCTGGTCACAACTGTTCTTTTGACAGCATGGATGGTAAGACCTGGTTATTTTCTTAATTTCTCTTTGTTTCATGGAAAACCACACTTTTCTGCATGGACTTGTTATTCTACTTACAAAATAGTGAAAATGCTTTCCTACCCTGAGCATAATATTATCTCAGTGGTTCAAAAGAGATCTCATTTTAGTCTCTGAATGTTATTTGTTTTCACTAAGTGAGATTTTTCTTTTCCCTCTGGCAACTGTAATTGTCTTTCATAATACTGCTTGCTGACAGGTACTTAAAATGTGGCAAGCATTTGCTAAGATCCTTACATATATTAACTTACTTAATCTTCATAGCCACTGTATTTTATAGAAAAGAAGTCAGGGATATTTAGTAACTTGTCACTGGTCAAACTGTCAGATCAGAGATTTGAACCAGGAAGTCAGATCTCAAGAGCTTGCATTTGATGTGGAAATATGTTGAAATCGTTTTAGTCTTAGTCTAGATCTGACTTAAATTCTGACTGTCCTTTCTTCTTTTAAGGGGGATGATAGTGGGGGATTGAACCCAGAGGTGCTTAACCACTGAGCCACATCCCCAGGGTATCTCCCACCCCCAAGGACAGCATCTCTCAAAGTTAAAACGTCTTAACAGTTTTTTCTGTTGTTGTTTCAATGTTGGGGATTGAACCCAGGTCCTCATATACGCTAGGCAAGCACTGTCCTACCGAGCTACATCCCCAACTCTTAACAGTCCTTTCTAACTTTCATTTTTTTCATGGATGTGTGCACAGTACAAGTCAGTAAAGAGTTTGCAAAGCTTAGCCTGAAGCAGCATAAAAATGACTTGTATTGATTGTAAAGGGACCTTGACAAATAAAATGCATTATTTTTCTGGTTGCATATTTGAGGTCATTGTTTGAAATTAGATTTTTTTTAAAAAAAAATTCAAGATTATTATACTTTTTAAGGAAAAAAAGATTATAAAACTAAATGTTGAAATTCATTACCCTGTGGTATACATGAAACTCATTGCACTATGGTATGATGATAGTTTCTTGTTTTCCTAAAATCATTAAACTATAGAATAGTTTATGTAACACAAACCATAACTTTTTCTGTGAGGTGGACATGAAAATAAGAGGTGCTTGGATATGTGCTAAGAAATCATAGTATCCAGTAGGAAAAACTAATTTGGTTGGCATGGCTTCACAATTTGGCCAACCTAGAGAGAATAAAAAGTTTACTGGTACTGGGGATACACTGTTGAACCTTGTTCCTCCTTACATTTTCATCAAGGGAGTAAGATAAATATAAATCAAGGTCATCAGCCAAGAGTAAAGAGAGGTGGGGATATAGGTGGTTTGAGGAAAGGCTGTGTGAAGTAGGGAAAGGGAAAGGAAATGTATTGGGGAAGCATTTTTTGAGCATTGTTGAATGCCTATTTATTATTGCTGGCATAAATTTAAATGTAGGCCAATTAGCATGATAGCATGTCTTTTCCCAGTAATATTGACCAGGTAGCGTGCTAGTGTAGAGGTGGTAGTCGTTTACTCATGGTTAAAATTTTGTCAGGGAACTTGAGAATATGTGAGAGAAGCATGGGAATTAAGAGTCTTTGAGGGCTAGTGATATAGCCCACTGGGAGCATTTGCCTAGCATGCACCTAGGTTCATTCTCCAGTACTATGGAAAAGAAAGAAAAAGAGTCAAGCCCTCTTCCTGTGATGTACTTTCTTTGGCAGCTAGAAATGAGAGGTAGTAGAGGCCTCTCTGCTTTGATTTAGAGATGTTGCAATTTCTCTGAAGCACAGGGAGCTAGGATCACCTCTCTTCTCATGCTACACGCTGCAGTCTTGAAGTCTTTGTTGACCCAATAATTGAAACTAATTTTTAAATGACATCTGACTCTTAAACATTAGGCTTGTCAGAACATTCTAGGATATAAGACTAGCCTTTTGCTCTTTCCATCTGCTATGAGAGTATAGAGTGGTAGAAGGGGTTGGTTTGTTGATCTAGAGAACTCCTTACTAGCCACACTGACCTGTCTCCTGTTTATCTGAACAAGTTCCTACCCATTCCAGCCCTTATCTTTCAAATGAGGGCAATCAGTCAGATATCCTTGACATTTTGCTCTAAATACCTCTGATTTTATAAAGGAATAGTGCCCAAATGTGGGGAAGAAGGAATGAGCAAAGAAAATAAACTAATTAAGAAAGAAGAACTACAACTTGCCAGTAATCATAAAAGATTCTTGACCTCACCAGTAATCCAGGAAATGCCAGTCAGAAGAGTGCGATAATTTTTAAGTCATCTTTGGCAAAAAAAAAAAAATTCAAGATACTGGTGTCCTTCCACTTTGAGAATAGCTTAGCAGTATCTGCTAAAATAGAAAGTGTACATTCCCAACAATCCAGCAATTCACTTCCAAGAAACACACGTGTGCAAGAAGATATATATATATCTTTTTAGAATCATTTTTAGAATTGGGAATAACCTAATGTTATTTATTGCCAAATGGATTATTGATACGGCCTTACTATAGAATATGATACAAAAAATAAAAGAAATAAACTAGAACTATTTTGATTTGGTTTAATTTTACAAGGAATATAGAATGACCAGTGGATACCGAGTAATAAATACAGTGTGAAATATTTATGTTTCTTTTTAAGACAACAATATCATGTATTGACTCTTACTACCTATATATTTATGTAAAAGTATGGAAATGGGCCAGAATGATACCCCCAAATTATGAAAGTGATTGCTATAGGGAGTGGTAAGAAGTTGGGAAAAGATCTGGCATGATAGATCCCTGCTACTTACTTGAAAGGCCAGAAAAAATGTTAGTGATGGCTAATTCTGGATGATGGGACATGAATACTTTTAGTATACTTTTCTGTATTTAAAAAAAAAAAACTCAAAATTTAGTTAAAAAGTAAGGAAGCATACACAGCTAAGGCCTGAATCTATGATTACTGTTTTTTAATTATTAGTCTTAAGCCCTCTAAGAAGTATCTGAGGCCAGGAAATGTAGATACAAGGAGAACAATGAATCAGGCAAAATGGTGAATCTGTAAATTGATTTTAATAGTTTTGTTATGTTGAATATTTAACTATGCTTGTCATGAGCAATTTCTCAGGTAGGCTTAATTTCCCTCCTTTATTTCCTCCAGTGGAGGAAGATGATTTGTCTTTGCTGACAGCTCTGCTGGAGGAAAATGAGTCAGCCTTGGCTTGTAATTCAGAAGAAAG